AAAAATATAGATGTTTTGTCCCGCTGCATTTGGTGACTTATAGTAGCTCTATTGTTCTGTGTTTGTGTGTTGTTTTGAGTTAAATATTTGGAAGATTCAGTTCAGAACCAAACTCCAAAACCAGATCCTGGTCAGTTCAGTGTGTTCCGCATAGTGTGTCGCGGCCCGGTGCGAGCGGGATCCGTCCCGGGTCGTGACAAAATGTAAGGTTAAAATCTAGTGACAAACTGAGATGAAAGTCCGGTGTCACTTGGTTGTTTGGCAGAAGTCCAACGTGACTTAGAAATTTGGGCATTAGTTAGTAGTATGGTGATCCGGTGGAACTCTAGGCATCAAGTGGTGGTCTGACGGAACTTCGGGTGTCAGGTGGTGGTATGATGGAACTTTGGACGTCGAGTAGTGGTCTGGCGAAACTTCGGGTGTCAGGTAGTGGTATGGTGGAACTGGGTGTCACATGGTGGTCCGATGAAACTCTGGGAGTCAGGTGGTGGTCCGATGGAACTTCGAGCATCAGGTGGTGGTTCGACGGAACTTCGGGCTTCAGGTGATGGTCTGGCGAAACTCTGGGTGTCAGTTGGTGGTTCGGCGGTAGTTCGGGCCTCAGGTGGTGTTTTGGCGAAAGTCTAGGCTTCAGGTGGTGACCTGGCGGAAGTCCGGGCCTCAGGTGGTGATCCGACAGAAGTGCGATATGTGGTGGTTCGACAGAAGTCTGGGCCTCAAGTGGTTAAGGAGGCAAGGAGGCAAGAGCAATCTTAGATCTCTCTCTTTCTTCCTTAGACTTAGGATCCTTTTTTAAGAGGAGGAGGGGTCTATTAATATATTTCATAGGGTGGCATGGCTCGTAAATAGAAGGAAGATCAAAGCTAAATGGAGAGTAGTTTGAACCTTCAAACGACACTTTGGGGCCTTGATTTGGACCAATTGGGGCTCAGATTGCGTAGATTTTGGTGTCGTTAGTTTCGTATTATCGAGACATTCAGTTTGACTATAAGTGTGCTGAAATTAGAATTTGGATGATCCCAATTTTAATTTTGAAAGTTTCTAACTTAATTTTTCTCGAGATTCGTGTCCAATCAAGATAATTTTTTGAGGATGTATCTCAATTAATTTAATTTAAAAAAATCACAACAATCAGTTCACCTGATGAAATTCAATAATATTATAATCAAAATACTCATAAAATTTATATTTATCATATACAAGATATTAAATACTAAAAGTGCAATAAATTAAAAGAAAATTATATTCTTATCGATTTAGGGAAGATTAATGTTGTTAAACTCAAAGTTATTGAAAACCAGAGTGAGATTCAGGTTATCTACCACAACTATAAGAAATCTTTGAACATAATCCGTGGACAAAAATACTCCGAACCAATTTCTCAATCTTTTCTCTCTCCTCTTCATCTCCTTTCCTTTCCCAAGAAGCCTAATGGCTAGAATGGGAGGGGTTGAGTGGAGGAAAAATTTATATTAAAAAAGACTTTTTAGTGTGTAACACTGCGTCATTTCAACCTTGTGCCGTAACACTGCATGCCCCTTCCAGATTTAACATAAAATAGAGAGCTTGAAAGCCACTACGTCGAATTCCATGCCAGTGCCCCACTGTTGTGCTGTAGTGTTGCACGCTCAACAAGTTTGATGTGCTATCATGTAAATGCAATCATTAATGTGATTATAAATATTATGGCAGCACATCCAATTTTAATGTATTATTATTTTTTATTTTTTTATCTGCATTATTCACGAATTTTATCAATTATTCAATATATTATTATCATAATAATTATATCATCATTGAATTCTAATAATAATATTTTATCTATTTTATTAACTCTTTGAATAATAGAATTTTTCCTCAAAAAAAGAATAATAGAATTGAGCTATCAAAATACACACTCTTTTTTAATAACAGGACCATATCATCTAATATATTTTAATAGAATTTTTTTAAAATAAATTTAAAAATAATTATTTTTTAAATTAATAATACATATAAAATTATTTTACAACAATCACAAACAAGTTGATAATTTTTTTTTTGGGGAAAATTAAGTTGATAATTTTCAAACCCATAAAATTTATATGAGTATACCCTCACGTAATTTATTCTTAATCATGATTCATTGTTATATATTCCGGTGTTTCTTTTCCATACAAGTCGTATAGAACAAGAGCTTAGAACCACGGATCGCCCCTCCAGCAATCACCAACCGTCCATCTCCAACTAATCAACGGCCCAAAAAGCTTAATCCGTGGCATGTCGTCCGCAAGCGCTTCAATAAATCCATATCTCACATCTTCACCACTGCCAATCCCCTATTCTTTCCCTAAGTTCGATCAATACAACGCTATGGACGCCGGTGGTAAGGCAAAGAAGGGCGCTGGTGGTCGCAAGGGCGGCGGCCCGAAGAAGAAGCCCGTTTCCCGGTCGGTCAAAGCCGGCCTCCAGTTCCCCGTCGGCCGTATCGGCCGCTTCCTGAAGAAAGGCCGTTACTCTCAGCGCGTTGGTACCGGTGCTCCCGTTTACCTAGCTGCCGTGCTCGAATACCTCGCCGCCGAGGTAAATTTCTTCCCATGCATCTCTTTTAATATTCAGATCTTGGGCTTGTAAGGTTCGATCTGTGATCTGATTCTAGGTTTTGGAGTTGGCTGGAAACGCTGCAAGGGACAATAAGAAGAACCGTATTATACCAAGACACGTTCTTCTTGCGGTAAGGAACGATGAAGAGCTTGGCAAACTTCTTGCTGGTGTGACAATCGCCCATGGAGGGGTGTTACCTAACATCAACCCTGTGTTGCTTCCGAAGAAATCTGCTGCAGCTAAAGAAGCAAAAGAGCCGAAGTCGCCCACTAAGAAGAAAGCTGCGAAGAAGGATTAGGTTGGAAATTTGTTATTTTCCGTCGATCTGTATTTAATTCAGTGTTTTATCCTTGTTTCCTGGAAGAAGACAGTAGTGTAAGGTGTTTTAAAAATCTATTTTTGGTAATGGAAAAAAAATGTTCGTTGCGCTTGATCTGATGGAATTCTTGCGTTGAGCTTTTAAGATTGTCTATTACTTTTTTTTTTTAATCTATTTCTTTGTAATTTGATATTTTGATGGAACTATTTGTGTACTCACCCTTTTGATTAAGTGGCTGATTTTCTGCAAGTAATATTCGTAAGAGAAATCTAAAATAGGATTTGTGAAGTATCATGATTTATGATGGATGAAGTAAATACAGAGTAAAATTCAAATTTATTTAGAAGTATCTACTAATTTAATTTAAATGGATTTGAAATTCGTATTCATGCGGAGCCTCGTCGCTGCTTGCTATTGTTGGCCAATTCTGGGCGTTGTTTGTTATAGTCATTGCCAGTGTCGGCAGCCCTCTTCAACCTGCCATTGTTGGCCACCATTGGCAATCCTTACTGACTGTCTTCCATTATTCACTGTCATTTGCCATTACTGGCCGCTATTGCCAGTATTGTTCCTATCAAGAGCAAATTGTCTGATTTTAACAATCATATTTTTAATGCCATTTTGATAGAGTTTCATAATTCGAGTTTACCTTATTGTTTTGAACTGCATTTTGATAACCTTATTTGTTGTCTTCTAGATAGAGCTTTCTGTATTAAAGAGTCTTAATGCCCTTTCACAACACATTTCTTCTTGTCTTCAACTAGCTTTAAGATCATCTTCAATTAAACTCCATATCATTATATATATTTGTTCGTGATTTTGCTCCATTCAGACTCAAATTGCATGCCAAATTCTGGTAAGCGAATAATGCTATTTCAATATTGGAGTTGGATTGTTCATCTATACCAAAAAAAATTGGTGCATGATTTGTAGAAGAAATGTGCTAATAAGAAAATTTTGCCAGGATGGTTATTGCAAGAAGTTTGTGAAATAAGAAGAAATGATGTTTGGTTGGAGAAAAATGATTGTATTTTGGAGTGAAAAATGAGTTTTTTTGATTGGCGATGTCCTAAGTACTAAGTCATTACTCTTTCTAAATAAATTGCATACTTAATACACCATTGGCTATCTGTTTATATACTTTTATGATACCATATTCAAAGTTATTGCTAAACTTGTTGCCGGCAGGCTTAGGCTTTTTCATCATAACATTATTCATGCTGCTTAATCTGCTATTGTATGGAAGATATATTATTAATAGTATTGCTTTGGCAAATGAAATCCTTAGGGTATCTTCAATTGAAAATCTCATTTTTCACTCTAAAATGTCGTGAAACTAAAAAATGCTATGATTAATCTCCAATCAAACTTCAATTTGCCCCCTTTTGTGAAGGTATTTGTCATTTTCTTTTTTCACGTGTTTCTTCGAGAAGTTCGGTAGAGACAGAAAAATGATGAAGATGAATAGTGCAATGCCAATATTGGTGTCCTATTATTCACCTGTAATCAAATAGCGGAAGTTTGACTGTTTGGCTGGAATCCGTGAGCGACGTCATTCAAGCGTTTTGAGTTCGATTGGAGATGCTCTTAGATAATTCAATTCTCATTTTGGTTCCAAGTTAATGTATGCCAAAATTGATCTTAAAAAGGCTTTTGATGGTGTTAACATTAGAGGCTTTTTATAATGTAATGGTTGCATTTGGCTTTCCATCCACATTATTAATTTGATTGTTGTTTGCACCTCTAATGTGAAAATCTCAATGCTTATTAATGGTTAAATTAAAGAGTTTTTTCTCCTATATATATATGGGCCTTTTCATTAATAACTTGTAAATTATTATTATTATTATTATTATTATTATTATTTATAAATTAGATATGTAATTGAATTAAATTGACTTATGTGCTGGCTTAAGTTTAACTCAATGAATTCATAAGTCAAATTTGAGCGGATTTCAAATTGGCTCATTAGCTAGTGAGTTAATTTGTTTAATTAATGCAATCATGAAGTATATCAAAATTAAACAATTTAAATATAAAATTGTTAAAAAAAATTTAAATTTATCTCTATTTTCCTTATGCCAAGGAGTTAATCAAGCTCAAAGTTAAACCAAAGTGCATGTTTAGTTTGCAAAAAATAAATATAGAGTAAAAGAAATATAATGTAACATAAATGTAATATAGTTTTATTTTTTAAGTTGTTTGTTTGAGCGTAAAATAATTGCAAGAGATCATTTCTTTTGAGTTTAGTTAGAATTAATATAAAATTTAGTGTAAAGCGATGGCGATAATGATCAATGGAAAAGGTGATAAATAGCATCGTTGGTGGTTTGGTGGGAGCGATGATTATTTGTGGGGCAACGATGGCCATTGACCACATGGGTTTGAAAGCTTCATGACCATATTGTATTTAGAATTTGGTTAAATCATACAATGTTCTAATATATTGAAAATAAACAACATGATTGTATGCCCTCGTATGCCTTTGTAGTTATTTAGTATATAACTTGACATTAATCACTCTCTCCATAGTGCATCCCCTCCCTCATCCGAACTTTACTATAAGAAGCACCCACTCAGGAAACATTCAAATCACTTATTGTGGTTGGCCGATCATAGAGCCTATCTCATCCACATTCATAGATCACTCGCCTCCTCACGTAGGCCAATTCAAGGATTAATAGAGACTATTAGCAGCTTTCAGAGCATTCAAGTATTTCCTCCTCGTAACTTGCTCACATGCTCGCTCATTCCTGCTCAGCACTACTAAGTTCGCTCTAACTATGGAATTCGCCTAGCGAGTTCTCTCATAGACATATCAACGAAACTCTATATTCCCCACTCTCCCCCAATCAATCATCATGCGACATATGTCCAAAGTAGTGTATAGTGCGGTATTTTTTATTTTTCTCTATATTTTCTTTTTTAGCCCTCATATACTTTTAAATAAGAGGTCATGATGAGTAGCTCGGGGTACCTTCTAATTGATATAGTGAAGATTCTATGGCTTCTACAAACTTTCCTCTATTTTCTCTACTCCTTATACTCTTCATTCTCACAAGTTCTAGCTCGTCAAATTCGGCATGCTTGTAATGTATGATATTATTCACGAACAAAATTGAATCCAAAATATTGAATTCTAATTATATTTATAAATTACTTTGCATTCCTGTCTCATTCGATTAAATACAAAAAAATTTAAAAACTTTATTGGCATTTTACTTTGGATTCATTTTTGAACATACTAACTTAACCCTCAGCCGAGTCAATAGTGGACGAAGGCTGATATGGGAGAAGTAAATATATATTACATTAGCCATGATAATTAAAGTGAATGCAAAGAGAAAATAATAAAAATAAAAAATATGTTACAAAAATAAATCAAAGCATGAATGCCGATGCTCACTAAAATAAAAGAGAAATTTAAAAAGTGTGGTAATGAAAATAGTTGCAAAATATAACGTCAATATATGAAGTTAGTTCAAACTGCAAAAATAAAATATAATATTGCAAAAAACAAATGTTGCAAAAACATTATTAATACAATAAAGTTAGAGCATAATTGCAAATTTAAAATAAATAAATAAAAGGTGATATTTAAAAGAAAAAGATGTAAGCATACTAGATGAAATTCCAATAATTTCTATAGCTGCTCAAAGAAATATTACAATGATGAGTTGCAGTGGCAAATTTTTTATAAAGATTAAGGTTTCTTTTGGGATGATTTTCTTACTGCTTCTTAAAATTATTTTTAGTATAAAATTTAAAATTTTTATGCTAAAAAGATATTTTAAAAAACAATAAGAAAATCGTCCCAAACGAAGCCTAAGAAAAGTTTAAAGCTCAAGCCTTATAAGAAATATCAATATTCATTTTGACACAATTTTAAATGAAGATCAAGGGAACTTCCGAAAAGAACGAAGCTTCTAATTTCTTAGAAATAAGGGGTTATTTCATTATCATATTGCCTTTTGTTATCTTATGAGTATTTATAAATTCATTTGTGATAGTTTGTCTTGGAAGGAAGGATTTTGAAAATTGAAAATTATTTTCTAATTAGATTTTAGAATCTCATTATATATATATATATATATGGATTATCATTTTATATTGAAAATATTTTTATTTGAATAAATTAAACTTTGAGAGTTTATTTTGAATGAGAAAATTTCCTATTGCAATATCCTGAGGCTTTTTGTATCAATATAGTGCTCATTTTATTACATATATCTGTAAAATTATGTGATAATCTCTTCTTTCATGAGCTCTTGAATTTAATGTAGGTCTATTGATTCTTATGCATTTTCTTGCCATATTTATACCCTCATAAATGCCTAATAATTTAATTTTCATATAATACTTTAATTTTCTTTGTCTTTATGTCATGAAAACTTTAAGATTTTTTTTTTGAAATTTCATCTTTTACTTATTGTCTTATATCCTAATTATCATATAATTTAGTAATATAATTTATTTAATTTAATTGTATTATTCAATAATTAAGAGCTAATATATTAAAAGATACATATAAAAATTTTTGCCCCATTATAATATAAAATATATCATAATATTTTGAGAGTTTTTTTTTTACATTAGGCCCACCAAGTACTAACTTTTCCATATTGAGATTCTTTCTTATAAGCAAAAAATATTTTATTTTGAAATATAGCTTTATTATTATTATTTTTAATTTTTTTTTTAAATATATCTTTTCTAAAAAAAAAAAAAACTTTAGGAATATTTATTCAATTATTATTAAGGAAAAAAAAAAAATAGACGCTAGCTGAAAATGCACGGGTTGGATTCCTCCAAGGGAAGTTGAAAGAGTTGGCAGAGGAACACAGCGCGAGAGCGACCTCTTCCGATCTTTTGGGTTTAAAAATAAAAGAGACGCCGTGATCCTTCTCTGTTCCACCGAAGATCTTCAACGGCCGACCCGCTTCCATTGGACCTTTCTGTGTCCTCTTCATCGCGATCGACCTGTTATTATCTTCCCCATTTTAAATTCTTGTATGGGAAATTTTTTATTCTTAATCATCTGAGATGATATTGGTTTTTGCTTGCATCGTTCTTCAGAGAGCGGATCAGACTTTCCTAGTGGGGAATAGGATTTCAGGAGCTTCGTCCGCGAATTTTACATGGCTGGTGCTCCTGCTAGGGCTCGGGCGGACTACGATTATCTCATCAAGCTCCTTTTAATTGGCGACAGCGGTGACAATTTCTTCTCCCTATTTCTGTATTTTGTTTGAATCTAATCGCATTCTTTTCTTCTGAGCTTTTGTTTGGTCGTGAGAGCCGACGATTAGATCTTCTTTTGTTTTTTGTTTGATTTTAGTTCTGATGAAGGGATTTATGAGATCGGTAGATTTTTTCTATGGGTCAACAGGGATCGTACACAGGATGGACGTTATGACATCTCCGATTTGTTTGGTGGGTTCTTGGAAAATTTAGCATGATGTTTCGTATAACAAGCCGCAAGGCTTTAGAGTATAGTTTTGTATTTCTCATAGGCAGATCATTCCAAAACTGATCCATGTTCTGTCATGCTCTAATATTTCAAATGGTTAGTTGTAGTTTGCTGTACTTGTTCATCAACATCTCTGATCTCATTTTCCTTCCAGTTTGGATTTCTCCATGGACTGAAGGCAGAATTTGTCTTTTGTTCCTGAAATTCTTGAATTTTCCGGTTTCTTTTGATTTTGTTCCTTGTAGTTTCTTTGAATCCAACTTATACTTCTAGAAAACTCTTCCTGAAAGCACTGCTTGAAGTAGGTGATTCCCTCCACAAATAATAAAAACATTAATAAATACGATGCTTCATTAATGATGCTGTCCTTCTTGCTTATTTGGAGTTGTGTACAACAACAACAACACGCCTTTATCCCTCTGTGGGGTCGGCTACATGAATCCTTTTTCTTCATTGTGTCCTGTTAAGGGTCAAATTTTCATCTAAATCTAATAAAGACATGTCATTTCTAATATTTTATGAGTAAGTTTTTTTTTGTCTACCTCTACCTTTATTAATATAAGTCAAATCTAATACATCTATTTTCCTAACTGGGTCATCGGAAGGCCGCTGTTTTATGTGACCAAACCATCTAAGTCGACTCTATCTAATCTAATCTTCCACTGGAGCTACTCCAACCTTTTCATGTTTATGCTTTTCTCATATCCTGTATTTAAGAGTAAAGCCACTCATCCACCTGAGCATCCTCATCTCTGTAACACTTAATATTATGCTTCTCTTTTAATGGCTAGCATTTTGCACCATAAAGCATTGCTGGTCTCACTATCTTATTATATTTTCCCTCAAGTTTGAGAGGGACTTTTCTATCAAATAACAAGCCCGATGCATTCCTCCACTTGAACCATCCAACTTGAATTCTAGTAATAATATCCCCATTTATTTCACCGCCACTCTGAACAATAGATCCAATATATCTAAAACGTGTGCTCTGATTAATAAATTGATCGTCAAAGTCACAATCCCCCTACTAGATCTATTATTACTAAAATTACACTTCATATATTCAATTTTAGATCTACTCAAACGAAAGCCTTTAGAATCTAAGGTTGGCTTCCATAATTCAAGTTTACTTTCAACTCTCTCTCTAGTCTTATCAACAAGATGAATATCATCAACAAAAAGCATACACCAAGGTACCTCTTGCAAATGTCTAGTGAGAACATCCATGACTAAAGCAAAAAGATATGAGCTTAAGGCTGATCCTTGATGTAATCCAACTGAAATAAAAAAAAATACTTGGTCAAACCACATTGTGTTTGAACACAAGTAACAACTCCTGAATACTTATCTTTAATGACTTGAATATAAGCATTATTAAGCCCTTTCTTACGTAGAACTCTCCATAGCATTTCTCTTGGAACTTTATTAAATGCTTTCTCTAAATCAATAAAAATCATGTGTGGATCCTCCTTATTCTCTCTGTACATCTCCATCAAATCTCTCAATAAATGTATAGCTTCCGTAGTAGTCCTACCTGGAATGAATCCAAATTGATTTTGAGAAACATTAGTGTCACGCCACAACCTATGCTCCATAACTCTCTCCCATAGTTTTAAAGTATGCAATGTTAGCTTAATTCCTCTATAATTCGCACAATCTTTTGCATCACCTTATTCTTAAAAAATTGGAATCAACATACTCATTCTCCACTCATCTGTCATCATTTTAGTCTTCAAAATAATATTAAAAAGTTTAGTAAGTCAAGAAATTCTTTCATCTCCTTAACATTTACATACCTCTATTGGAATATCATCAGGTCCAACAGTTTTTTCACACTCATTTTTCGTTAAAGCCTCTTAACTTCGGTTTTACTAATACGCCGATAAAAACAAAAATATTTATTTTCATTTAGGGTGCTAAGGTCACTAAAGTCAATTGCATTCTCATAATCTTCATTAAAAAGGTTAACAAAATATTCTCGGTCATGATTTTTTTTTTGTTAATTAAATCCCTTGATTTTTTATATAAATTGGAATTTAAGTGAATGGCAAATTATTTAATATGCTAATAATATCTATTGGAAGCAAAAATTTATACGATGGATTTCAAAATTATTTGCAAATCAGGTTAATGACATCTTTGTAATCCTAGTACTAGCCATATTTCTTATGAAAGCCATTTCTACGACAAACCTATTATTGTTTGCGTTCAAGAAGGCTTTGTTCTTTGTAAAAAATTGTTTGCGTTCAACTCCTCTCTTACTTATAAAAATTTTTCACAACATATGATCTTAGCCAAGGCATACTATTCTTATTTTAAATTATGCCAATGAACAAAAGTAATAATACTGAAATTTATTCTAGAAAATTTGAAAATAATTGTTTTGCAGTTTATAACCTATCTTAAAGAAAAAATATTTTACTAAACTTCAAATTAGTTTTTTAAATAACAAAATTGATGTGAAAACTCTTTTTTAAAATTTGAAAATTGAAAAAATTCAAAAGAAAATAACTTTTATTACAAAAGCTTTTCATGATAAGATTTGTCATTTGTGTGATAATCTTGCTGCCTTTTGGAAGTGAAAAACTCATTATGTCGCTCTTCTTTATTAAGACTATTTTAATGAATAACTTTCCTAAAAAGGCTTATCCTTGCCAAATTAACTAGGGTTTTATAGAGGTTTGTAAAAATGAGATCAACAATCTCTTTGCTGAAGGTCTTATTCATTGGCTTCACTTTTCATTGAGCTTTACAGCTTTTTTATGTTATGAATATTGCTAAAAAGAAGCATGGTAAACACAAATTAGTGATAAATTACAAGCCTCTTATTCATATTTTAAAAGGATTAGTTATCCAATCCCTAATAAAAAGGATCTTCTACATAGACTTTGGGAATTTGTTATTTTTTCAAACTTTAAGTTAAACGAGTTTATGCAAGGGACAATTTGAGATGATTGAATGAAATGTGTTGTGCATGTCACAAAGATTCTAATAATTAGAATCAATTTTCAACCTTTTTTTTCAATCAATTAATTGTGCAATGATAAATTTTACTAGGGGTGACAAAATGGGTTAACAAGTCGGATTCAAATCCAGCTTGAATTGAATCGATTATATTCCAATCAACTCAAGCCCCACCCATTTAATAGATGGGTCAAAAAGGTGAATTCAAATTTGGCTTGCTGATAACTAGAATGACTTGAACACGACACAATAACCCATTTTGTTTAATTTTTTTTTATGTAACTTATCAATTATAAAATTTAAGTTAATTGGTTAAAAATAAAAAGATCGTACAAATAAGAAAGCGAATTTAAGAAAAATATTATTAAACATGTCAATTTTGGGACAAAATCAGGTTCATGTGTTAACCTGAATCTAAATCGTTTATTAAACGGGTTAACCCAAAACTAGATTATTTTTATCAGGTTGGTTGGTGGGATTATTTTTTGACACCCCCAACTCTAACTTCATATACTCTTTAAGTAGGAGTTGGTGTCCATGGGGGAATTTTATGAATTCTCCTCTTCATTCTCATATCTAGAAAATACCTCTTAGGCATTCTCATTGTTACCATCAGGGAACATTTGCTTCGTGCTCAATTGAACATTACTATTGGCGGCAACGTCCTCTTATTTTTTAGGACGAGTGTCTTTTGTAATGCTATCTACTCGATTAGCTTTTCCATTAGATTCTCTATTTTATTGAATTTGATTTCATGACTTCATATGTCCGACATTATGGGTTTTCTTTGCATTTTGGCAAACTCAATAGCTGTAGTAATGGTTTTTGTGGATGTTATTGTTTTAACCAATGGAATATTATCGCTTCCCTATGTGTCATATCTATGTTTTGATATCAAATCATGATCCAATCCTCTTGGGCTAGTGTATAACACTCATGATGTATTGAATCAAGGATTTAGATGTTCTAGTGTTTGGCTTTATGTAGATCTTTGGTAAGGTTATTATCAAATATGAAATACATGATGACGAAAACAAGAATTGAACCAAGACTCTTAACATGTAATGATTGAATTCTAGCAAAAAATTATTCAAATGGAGATTAGTTCATGCACGTATATGATCAAAGTAGATATCGGATTGATAAAACCTTGGCAAGGATTTAATTAACATGGATTAGACCCCTTATTGGAATTCAACCAAAGGTGGTGGTCATGGGGGACAGTATGTGTTTGTTAATTTAGAAAAATCTAGCATGCACATGGAGGCTAGGAAGTGAAAATCTTTTTTTGTTTCTCTCCCTCCTTGCCTTCCACTTGATGTTGGTTTCGTCCTTGCTTAAGCCCTTCTCATTTGTAGAGAAGAGGGGGAGAGAGTGAGGAATGAGAGAGGGGCGGCTAGACAGAGGGAAAAGAGATAGTGAGCATACAAGAGGACAGAGAAAGTGAGAATTTACGTTTCTTTCATTTCATATAATGTATATAAGTAGAATATTATCACTGTTGTACTAAAAAAATTATAAGATTAACATTCCTCGATTAAAAAAAAATTATATGATTATAAGAGAGAAAAGCTAAGATTCCTTAATGAAATGTGTAGCCTCCTATTATTTATGCTAGCAATCCTCTTATCATCTTCACCTTTTTTTATCTTGATAAAAGCTCATTCATATCATATCTTGGTCAAACAATAAGGAGGGAATCTTGGAGTTTTGAAAACTTGAAGCTTCTTATCTAGTCCTTCGTCATTTTGTGCCTTGATGTATTATCTCCTTATAGCTT